GTTTCGCCTTACAACCATTTACTGTCTCTGGCCAAGACAAATAAAGAGAACGATTAGATAATAACATTGACTTTTCGCTTTCGATAGGGCAAAATTTAATGAAATACTCGTCAATATTGGATTAGAGCGAAACGAAGCAACGTCTGGTAGTCAAGCTTTTTAAACAAACTTATTCTTCACAAAGAAAACGTGTGTTACTTCCTGTTTTTAATAAATTTTAGTGTACTGGCCAAAAATATTACTTGTTTCCATGGCGACAGCGAGGCACGAGCTGGCAACAGAGCGAAGCGGCATGCATAGTGTAAACACACTTGTTTTTTACTTCGGAGTGAAAATCAATCCGGTATAGTGTAATTCTAGCCTCAGAGTAACATCACAAACGTCATATTCACCTGAGTAAACAACACCAACACAGAAAAAATCATATTACTGGATTACATTGGTAACGAAGGAACTAGATTCTGTTCCGAAATATCACTTACTCGAACCGACCTGACCGCGTAGCTCAGTTGGCAGAGCATTGGGCTAGTATTCCAAAGGTCGTAGGTTCGATTCCCACCGTGGCCGGGCATATTTTTCAAGCTCGCCCCGTGTGAATATACACTCAGGGTAACATCACAAACATCGTATTCACCTGAGTACACAACACCAACACAGAAAAAATCATTATCACAGCGTGCTTACAGTTATTCATCAATAAATCAAAGGTTTTCGGGAATTATTGGGGGTAAGGGGAGCCCCCCTCCACTAAGTATATACAGTAACCATAATAATTAATTTTGGTGACACATGTTTCCCCATTCGTGTTTTCTAGCTGCTGGTGAGCCACCGCAATGTATGTCATGTTCGTGCCTGTTTGCTGTTCAAGATGCGATATACCACGCCCGTGAGGAGACTGGACACGACAAAGATTACTTTCCGTTAGATGGTCCAGCTACAGTGGAAGTCACACAGTTGAAATGTCTAGTTGATCCTTCACAATTTATTATATAACTATTCATTGAACAACATTAATTGATTATGTAGAATGAAAGCATTGAAGAATAAAGCATTGATTATGTAAAATTTATAGAATGAACTAACATGTAACGAAAGGTAATATAGAACTGTACGGTTCCAGGATTTTATCTCGATTCCGCTTTCGGTCTTTTGAGGGTGGAAGAACCTCCATTCTGTTTCGGTATTTTCAAAAGACAATCAATTCAAAACATTCGCTCAAAAAATTGTAAATAACATAAAAAAAAACTTATAGCAAGTTAAATGAAGCGAAAACATTATACTCTTAATGTCTGCTTCCGATCGAGGGAAATGGTTTTGTTCTTCCGAGAGTCTCAATGTTTCCCGAGACGAAGTCGATGGATCGAAACATTGAGATTAGAGGGGAAGTAAACTAACTATTTCCTAAGGGAACATATATTAAGTGTTTTGTAGCGAGGAAAGAACGATCACAACCTCGTACCCAGGGTCTTTTCTCTTGGGGAGAATATACCCCGGTAGATGCTGGTCACGTGATCTGCTAAAATCTGACAGATTTCTAATTAACTATTTTGGATTCCTTCACGACAATCCTACAAGATACAAATTATAAATTAAACTATAAAAATCATCCAAATATCAAAATTTATCGACCTCATCTTGGATTGCTAATTAAGAATCTGGTAGATTTTAGCAGATCACGTGACCAGCGTCTACCAGGGTCTTTTCTCCCCAGGGGGAAGACCCTGGGTACAAGGTTGGAATTAACGTTCATTCAAGAATCGTATTCCATGACAAAAACCCTATAGTGTAAACGAGTTTAAAATTAAAAGAACCTATTTAAGGTTACAGAACACCTTTGAGTATTAATTTTGCCTAAAATATTTTTATTGGTTTGCATGAAAGCATTAGACTAATTTTACTCTGTGACCAAGTTTGGACGAAAAATGTTGAAAACTCGCAGAGTTATTTAATAAAATACATTTCGCTTCCAATAAGAAAAACATTGAAAATGTAATATTCAAATTCAATTTTCTCCCGAAGAATTTTACGGCAATTACTGATTTTTAAACGAGTTGTGCTCCTGCGGGTTTTAACGAATTTTTCTCAAATTTTCACAGGACATAGCTAAAGACGTCAGTTTCAAAATGTGTTCGGCTTTGTTCTAATTTTGGATATTTTAATAATAAGGAGCAATTCACACAAACGATTCAGAAATATATCGCAGTCGCCAAAGAAATGACGAAGTAAACAAAAATTTCCGAACACAATTTTTTAGCACAACTATTTTACTGTATAAAAATGATATTTTCATAAATATATCTTCAAACCAGCAGGAACATAACTCAAAAGCGTAAAGGTACCGCGACTTAAGATTTTCCTGAATAATTCTTACATTATTTTATTGTTTGTCAATTTTACAACTTTATCATATTTTCCATGCACTGGCTAACATTTGGTGAAAATTTGATGAAAATCGGACTGATTTTTCCACAAAACGCCAAAAAGGGTGTCCTGTAACCTTAAGGTTTCAGCAACATGCCCTGTTGCCTGTTATGTATTTTCTTGTTCTTTACATTCTTTATTTTTATACAAACTTGGAAAATCGTAGTGTACAAACTTCAATCAATCAATCAAGGGTTTATTATAAAATCGTGGCGCTCGAAAGCGAATTGCGAAGTTATTTACACCATTTGCTAATTATAAAACTATCTATGTGTAGCTTGTATTACATGCATTATGTTACAAAATTGTTTTACGAATCTCTGAATTAATACAGAAAGGTAAATGTACTTTCATATTTACAGTTTTGTTTACTCAGTAATGGTTAGAACATGGTCAGGTGTGCTGTCTGGGATATAGAGTCCCGAGAATTAGTTAAAAGGTCACGAGGGGCCTTAGGCCCGGGTGGCCTTTTAACTAATTCGAGGGACTCTATATCCCATAGAGCACAAGTGACCATGCTTAACAGTTTTAGAGAATGACTGCATCCACGAAGGAAGGGAGTAATGTCCAATACAGGCATCTGATGTCTGATGGTGAAGGTGGTGTATGTAGTGATTACGTCACTAGGACAAGTAGTCACGTGAACAGACACATGGGATTGGGAAAAGCGAGCGATGTAGACGAACACATGCTTAGAGTTTAGAGTTAGAATAAATATAAATAAAACACAACATTGGCGACGTGGATGGCTACGTCAAGTAGTCCGATAGTACAACCCATGCCGCCTTTTGATCCTAATACGGAAATTGGCACAAACCTCGCTCCAAAATGGAAGATATGCATGGATCGATGATTTCAAGACATACCTGGTTGCTACAGAGATTACCGACAAGGCCCGACAGCGTGCTCTGTTTTTATATCAAGTCGGATCGCGGGTTCGTGAGATATTTCGTCAGCTTCCTGATACGGGTGAAGACAACGAACTTGATACAGCAGTGACTAAGTTAAACGAATATTTGAGCCCCAAAAACATCGTCTATATGTAGTCTACAAGTTTCGTCAAGCGGCACAAGAGAACAATGAATCGATTGATCAATACTACACTCGCTTACGAAGCTTGGCAGCAAGATGTGAGTTCGCAGACTCGGACTTTGAAATTATACTCCAAATTGTCTTGAAAGGATCGTCTAGGCGACTGCGAAAACAAGCCTTACGTGACCCGAAAATGACGCTCAAAGATCTACTAATCGCTGGTAGGGGTGCACCGGTACTCGGTTCCGGCCGGAACCCCGATTCTTTAGAGTTCCGGTTCCGGCCAGAACTAGTAAAAAAAGCATGGCCGGAACCGGAACTCTGTCGTTTTCAGAGAGATAGAATATCAAACGTTTTTGTGCCTAACAAAAGGTCACAGTAGGATGAAATTTGGACTACGCAAGGGAAATGTACACTATTAGCACTTCATTATGACGTTTAACGCTTGTCGATCTTTTTATTCTAATATTTGCGAGCTCTCTCCTTGATGACTTGAAGTATCTGCCTGTCTGGCAGCGGACAAAGTAACATATGACTGTATACGGCTTAATGAATTAGTTCCGGTTCCGGCCGGAACATTTTTCCAGTTCGGTCGGATCCGGTTCCGGCCGGAACTTAAAAACTGGTTCCGGTGCACCCCTAATCGCTGGTAGACAATTTGAAATGAGCAGCTTTCAAGCGGCCGACATCGAACAAAAACAAATTGAACAGGAGGAAATACGTGCCATTCGCAAAAACACGCGTCAGCCACGTCCACAGTCTAGAAACGCGTCGCTGTGTCGGAATTGTGGCGGAGAATGGCCACACGAAAATGGAATTGTCCTGCTCGTGGTAAAGAATGCAGAAAATGTGGATCCAGCTCAAGTGACGAGTCCAGTTATTGTTATGCTGTCAAGACAACGGCT